TCAAAGTGATATCGTGACTAGTTTATTAATAAATTCAAATTCGAATTTCGGAAGAATACTATTTTTCAATCATTATGCTGACAAAACCTCTTTTCCTCTGAACCGTTAAGAAGAAAAGGCGTTTGGTCAGCCATGTAGATACCAAGTGTATTGAGCATACATGGAGACAAATAAGGTGGAGCCAGAGGGGAGGGAGGGCAGGGGTAGGAGTAGACATGGTTTGACTTTTCTTTTTTTTTTTTGGGAGACCGGTCAAAATTCATATTCATAAAACAAAACTGAACACAAAAAGAACACTGTATAGCATATCATGCTTTCAAACATCACTAGATGACCGTGGTAACAAAAGAACATCCCAGATCTTAAATAGTGATAAAATACAAAAGAAAAAAAACCCCAACAAGAACTCTTCCGTAAAATTATGTTGATACAAGCGTAATCTTGAGGTTCCAGTTCAATAATGTACTCAGATCTACGTCAAGTAAATATGATCAGTAAAAGAAAACAAATCTCTTGTGGGAGCTGCAAAAAACGGCTATTTTGAAACAGAGAAAACATTGTCATTGATACACTGTATGCTTCCCGGAAACCTGTGAATGCTTCTGAGTGTTCTGTGGTCTGCTGGGATAATAGTATGGTGTAAAGCGCACAGGCCTTGCTATAGAGCGAGGTTATGCGTTATACAAATCTATTAATTTATTTTTTTAAAAACTTTGTAGGCTTCACACTCCTGTAAAACGAAGTTGTGATGTTAAGGAAGGTTGCTAATTTAAGGAAGAGAAAAAAAATTGGCACAAACTTCTGATAAACCAAATATAGGTGCTCGCTCCCTTGCCAAAATTTGAAATCCAGCAACATTTCAGCTTCAATCAGATTCTTTATGAGCACATCACTCCTTTTTTACAGCATAAGCAATAAAACCTTTGCCAAACACATACACGTGATACATAGATAGCTCTCTCCTCTAGTTTGGAAAGAGTACATAACTCAAAAGAGACAAAAATAAAAATAATCTATTTGCGCTGGTACATGAGAAATGCTTGTATACTGCCACCAGATCATGAAAACAACGGTACCAAATAACATGCAAAATATCCATTTATCAGAACATCACTTCATTCCATTCCCAACAAAACTTATAAATAAAGCAAAGTATGAACATTTGAGAAGTTGCACAAAATTTCACATTGCTAAATATCATCCTCGTAAGAAAAGAACAAAATCCAACTCGATTTCAAAACAGGAATCGTTAGCGAGGAAAAATCGAGTACTGAAGAGCAAAGAAAAAGGTCAAAGCTAGATAGGACATATCAAACCAAGCTGGAATATCTGAGTACATAAGGAAAAGACTCAGGGGCACAGGAGACTGTATGTTAATAAAAGATGTGTCTTTCTCTGAAAAGGTATACATTTTTTTTCACTTTTTTTTCCTCTTTTTTTTCACCAAAAAAAAAAGAAAAGGTGTAAATTATATATCTATAGTATACGTGTATATCAAACTGAGCTTAAATTGACAAAACTGAGTGGTGAAGCCAACATTTGAGCATCAAATCTGCTAGAACTAGGATATAAAAATGCTACGAAGTGCGGTGGTCTGAAACAGTAAAATAGGTAGCTCTATAAATATTCATCACAATTATATCAAACAACCTTTCAACCTCACAACACAAAAGGTCTCCCTCACCTACCATATATATATATATATATATGATATGTCCACTCATATTTAGGAAACGGGATAACCCTGTTTAAGGTAACTTTTTAACTTTTTGGACTTGAAGAGAAGTGCGTTGACAGAATATAGCTGTCACTCACAGCAGGGCAAAAGAGACTGATGTTTGCTTATTCCTTTGTCTTAGTAAAGACAGTCATACCATCATATAACAGCTCGGAAGCCTGCTTTGAAAGTCTGTCTTGGAGGCCTGCTTCATTCCCAATATTTCAGGAGTATTTCTAGTCAAAATTCAGACCTGTCTTTAACACGCATACTGCATGGATAATTCAGTATCATTTATTTCTCAGATTTTTAAAAATTTTGATATTTGGGGGGTTAACTGGTCCCAACACAAGAGAAATGATACATTCATTATGACAATATCTCAGCGATAAAATATTCTTCTCTTCTCTCCCCTTCAGCAAGAAAAGATGTCAACAGAGTATCAAAAATAAAACTGTTGCGAGAGATTCCGATATCTAATTGTCGAGTTAAGATCTTTCATAGATATATTAGAACAGATAAAATATATTTTACTCCGAAACTTTGTCAAGTGTAATGAGTATTTGAGATCTGAGTGAATTTTCTGTCATCAACAACGAAGGAAAGGACAGATACAAAGAGAAGAAAAACTGTCTGTGTTTGGTCCCAGCGGATTGCAGTTGGTCCCAGTAGGTCTGACTTAATACTATAAAAACAACAGGGGAGGGAGGGGAGTGTGTGTGTGTGTGTGTGTGTGTGTGTGTGTGTGTGTGTGTGTGTGTGTGTGTGTGTGTGTGTCTGTGTGTGTCTGTGTCTGAGTATGTGTGTGTATGTGTGCGTACGTGCATGTGAGTGTATGTGTGTGTGTGTGTGTGTGTGTGTGTGTGTGTGCGCTCGTGTGTGTGCGTATGTGTGTACGTGTGTGTATGTCTGTCTGTCTGTGTCTGTCTGTGTATGTGTGTGTATGTGAGTGTGCATATGTGTGTATGTGTGTGTGAGTCTATCTGTCTGTGTGTGTGTGCGTGTGTGTGTGTGTGTGTGTGTGTGTGTGTGTGTGTGTGTGTGCGCGTGAGTGTGTGTCTGTGTGTGTGCATGCATGTGTGCATGTGTGCATGTGCATGTGTGTGTGCGCGTGTGTGTGTGTAGTGACCTATGCATGTACATATTTACCATGCCACATAACATTTATTCTCTTTGTGTATAGCAAGAAAAATTTATCTTATCTAATCTTATCTTGTATTGGACCTAATACTGCAGTATTTTGAGTACATCACCAACAGAAGAAAGAGTATCATTTAAAAAAAAATTATTTTAAAGACTAAAATTGATATTAGAGATATGAATGAAGCTTACAGTAAAAAGAGAATGGTTTTCCCAATACAAATAGGAAAAAAGAAAACCAGGGAGTGAAGTCAACTCTTTCAACACAGTGCATGCTGCATCCCCCTGTGGGTCAGGATCTTGACAATTGTGCAATTTCAAGACTTACAATTTATGCCCAATGCAATCTAGAGGGTAAATGAAATAGTCTTGAGCTGATATGAGTCATTACGTGTTGGAGTAAGGCGCTCGTCAAATTTTGGGCTTACGGAGTTGCTCGTATCATCTTTAAACTTGTTCATTTGTCTTGCCTTTGGCTTTTTAAAAAATACCAATCTATCTTGAATAGAAGTTGAAACATTTGTGATGGTAGGATGCGGGGGTGGCGGTCACCTGGTGACAGAGATAAAACTAGCAGGAAAATCAGTGATCGCCAAAGTTTGGTCACTTCCAAAGCAAGAGTTCCTTGAAAACTGCAAATTAAAATTTTTTTGTGCCTTCATTCAACATTTTCAATAACATCCAAACAGAGATGTGATATTAAATTATGGATATAAAAGGTGTTAAGCCAAAAAGCGAAAAAAATTGACAAAATATGCACATCGGGTAGAAAAAAAGTATAATTTTCTTTGATTTAAATTTAATTATTTTGACGAGTGCCTGATTTCTTCACATATCTCACATATATGAGTATTTAACTCTTTGTTTTGCTTGCAAACAAATCAAAATGTTTCAAATAGGCGAGAAAGTCACACAATGTCCTCATCCTCTTAAGGAATAAGACAATACAAACTTTTCAGAGAATTAGGAGCAACTGATATATCATTCATCCTAATCTCAATATAGATAAAATAAAGAGATAAAAGGTGAAAAAAGGTAAAATGCTAGCGTAAAGGGAGTTTGAAAATAAATGAGTTACATGGCAGCTGAGTTCTGACAGAATGTCTGGAATACCAATCAATAAACACAATAATCTCGGCGACAGTTCTCACTAAATGAGGAGGCTGAACATATGTGGGTACATATCTATACTACGTTATATTATTTATATAATATTGTCAGTATCATTCCACTACCACCCCAACAGGTCAATTTCTGGAGCGGGGTGGGGGGTGGGGATGGTTAAAAAACAAAAACATCTTTCAAATAATAGACAGAAAGGGACATCTTACGATATAGTTTCTTCCTTCTTACTTTATTTCATTCTTAGTTGTTTATTGGAAAATAATGAGTTCCAAAAGTCATGGTTCCAACTGAGGGAGGGGCGGGCGTCTCTCTTTCTTTAATTTTCTCAAAACTTAAAAAACGACACTGGTGCTTTTGGAAGAGTACTGACAATATAATACAAAATTAAAACAAATATCTTTCCCAAATTCAAAATAATAATGTATGTTATCGGCTTTACAAAGTGAGTAGTAAGAGACATAAGCAGCAAACCTCATAGAATACCTCCCCCACATTTCACAGTAGGACACGACCGAGTGTTTCTCTACAGCGGAATATTAAACAAGCTTCTAAGCCGCACAGCTTAGAAACATGACAGGAAAATGGCACTTTTTTCTTGGTGGTTTTGAGGGAAGAAGGAAGGTGGTGAGGGAGGGGGGGGGGGTTATCTTTTCTTGTTTGTTAATTTTAAAAAAAGAAAGAAATAAAAAAGAAGAAAAAAAAAATCCAAATGAAGAATGTAACTTTTTTCTTTATTCTTCCCCCCCCCACACTCACACGAGCCCATGGTGCAAAATCCCATGTTCTCTGAAGTCGTTCAGCGTCCGAGTACCTTGCTTTCACACATTATTCAGTAACTGGCCCCTGCGTTTCTCCGAATATAATAATATCACAAAAAAGACACCAGGGAGGAGTCACAACTATCTATATATAACTATATATAACTATATATATATATATATATATATATAACTATATATAACTATATATATATAACTATATATATATATAACTATATATATATATAACTATATATATATATATATATATATATATATATATATGCAAACAAAACTAAACTTAAATATCACAAATATACGAAGACTCCCAATATGTCGGGACAATGACGCAACAGCAGACCACCATCATCATACTACGAGAACATTCCCTAACGTCACGACGCACCACCCACACACACACACACACACACACACACACACATCAGTATTCTGCGGCTTGGCCGTACTTCCGAGGGTCGGAGAAAGCGGCCAGGTCATCGTTGGTCTTGTCGATGCCCTGCACACAGCTCAAGCCCTCCACCGCCCGCACCATGGTGTGGCCCATGTCCTCCATCTCCTTGACAACCATTTGGGGGATGCCGCCTGAGGGAAACAAATTTACACGTTGGTGGGTTGGGGTTCATTTAAAGTTCCTGTGATTTTTTATTTAGATTATTTTAAAACATCCAAGCAGTGCCAAGCACTGCAAAACTTAACTAAAAACATGATGCAGCAGCTCATGTGTCTTTTAAAGATCAACATCATCATTTTTGTTTTATCGTTTTAGTAAGTGTTTTACGGCACTTGCAACACAATAAGGTCACAAAAGTGCCAAAGATTAGGTGTGTTACAAGGGAGTAACAAACATGAAAAAGAAGGAGAGATTAGCACGATAGATGTTTGATAGGAAAGAAAGAGCAAACCACACCAGAGCACCTGCCAACCACCCACTTTTTTTTCCACGTCTTGGACAGTGTCATTATAAAACAAAACAAAACACACAAGGGGAGAAGTTGGATGTAGTCTTTTGTACAGGTGATTGTCTTGAATAAGTGGCACTTAGAGCAGGAAAAAAATGGGGAAAGCGTTTAAGTTTAATGCCTCTATCAACACTATTAGGCTATTTAAGAGGAAGGGCCTCCGAGTTTAACGTCCATCCATGTCCGAATGGACCAAGTCAGAAGGGAAATTCGTGTAAAGCGCCTTTCCCAAGGACACAAAGTCGGACCGAGCTTTAGAACAATATAGACAATATTTTTATATAAAGTGTAACATAACATACACAATTAGAGTAAAATACTAGTAAATGTGTCACAACGCGGTTGAATCAGGCACTTGCCAATTTTGAGGAATATGGTGTTATTGACATCATCTTAAAGCTTGTTCATTTAACTTGCTTTTGATGTAAAGAATATCCATCTATCTTGAAGTCCAGATATTTGCAATTGAAGGATGAGGGAGTCACCTAGTGTCAGAGAAAAAATTTGCGAGAAAATGACCACCAAATTTTTGGTGACTTCTAAGGCTTGAGAATCCTTGAAATCTGCAAATTTGCATTTATTGTGCTTTTGATCAACAGCTTTCAGCAAAATCCAGGCAGAAATATGTTTTAAATGGACATATAAGCTGTTGAGTCAAAACAAAAAAAATTCGATAAAAATTGTCTAACAGGTGGGAAAATGTTGGTTTCTTTGATTTCATCACTTTGACGAGTCCCTGATTTCAACACGATGCCACACAAATATATTTACAGGACATACGAGAGGCAAGGAAACAATTACATATATATATATCATACTTAAGGGGTGGAGCGACCCTCGATTTTGCAGATTTTGGGTCAGGCTATGCACATTTTATGTTGGCTGATTTTTGAAGATCAACCAGTTTTTTGTCTAAAAATAGCATGGATACAATTGAGAAAGACTTTATTCTCCAGGTAAATTGCTTTTAAAAACATGAGGATGGATTAATATAGTGAATTTTCACAAATATTTTAGGTTTTCGCAAAATATAATTTTTGTGCAGCCCCTACTCCTTCCTTAGTTTTCATCCTTTTGACATGAAACTTTCAGGAAACATAGTTGGCAAGGCTGCCATCAATATAACAGAGAGATATTTGCGGAAAAAAATAGTACTTTTACATTGGCAATGATTATGCAACCTAAATTTAGAAAAACGTTTTTTTATACTTTGGGAAAATTCTCATATTTTTTTCTTTTGCATTTATTGAAAAAAACTTGCTGTTACTCTGATAGGGTCTGGTTCTCACCAAATTTGGTCAAATTTGGTCTGTAAATAAGAAAGCCTTATTTGAAATTCATTGTTTATTTTCAAGATGGCGGCCATTTCCATAGCAACCGCTGTAGCTAGGCCAAAATAAAATTGCGTATCAAGAGATTTTACTATGTCTAACTTAAATGTGTACTTAGATTTGATCTCGGGCAACAAACACAGAAAATGGTCCCCAAGGGTAGCTCCTCCTGTTAATCCCCACAATTTCAGAAATCCAGGTTTCCAGATGTACCCGGAAAAACGGCACAGCACCATCAGTAGTTCGTACTCACTCTCATACTCGGTGCTCTCGGAGAGCTGGTTGTGCACCCTGGGCGCCAGGATTGCGCCCGTGATGTTCATGTCGAACAGGACCGAGTTGACGATGGTCTCTGCCAGCCCCGTGATGATGCGGGTGCCGTTGGACGCTCCGATGACCAGCCGGTGGGCGCACGGGTGATCGTCGTTGTACAGAACCAGTGGGCTCATTGAGGACTGGGGGCGTTTGCCCGGTTCCAAATTATTCACATCCTGAAACACAGGGGTTTTTTTTGTTTTTTGTTTTTTTAAAAAATAGTAGTTTAGTGTTAGTAGGATTTTTTGGACTATATTTTAGTAAGTGTTTTACAGCACTTGCAACACAATAAGGTCATATAACTGTGGAAGATTAGAGGTGTCACAAGAGAGTTTAACAAGCGCAAAAAAGAAGGAGGAAAGATAAAGATGATAGATGTTCGATAGGAAAGAAGAAGCAAACCACACCAGAGCACCCCTCCCCCCCCCCTTCTCGGGGATAAAGAGTTAAAGAAACAAAGTCAACAAATTGCTCATTTTGAGACCGGAACACTACCCTCTGCCCACATTTCAGGGCAAGCTTGTAGATTTCATCCCAAAATCATCTTGACATCTTCCCTCGAGTCTTGAACAGTACTCACCCATCTATTCAACAGTGTTTCATAGGCATGCAATAGAGTAGGGTGTCGACGAAAATAGGTAAACTTTTTTATATTTTAGGTGCATGCTGTAAATCCCCTATTATTTTTATTACTTCTTAAGGCTAACGTCAAAGGAAACTTGTTCGGACCTTAGTTTGTAGAGACCTTCATTGACGGACTTTTAGATTCTGTTGGTCATGCAACGTTTAGACCTGCATGAAAAGACTCGATAATATTAAACAAAGCAATTTGTTTTTACCCCAGTTAAATTGTGGACAGACAAAAGTAAGCAAGCATAATAAATTAATAACGTCAAAACCTACACGGCCAGTGGTGTGACATTAATGTCTATGAAGTGATTGTGAATACCTCCCTGTGCACGGGTGTAACCCCTCTGTGACATATATGACATACGCCATTCTTCTTAATGATATTTTCTTACACGGCGAACAAGCCAAGATACCACTGTGACCTACAGCGTTCGTCACGCCTTGCTAATCGCGAGGACCATGGTGACGAACACTGTTTGTCGTATTGGGCATACTGGTTCTATTAGATGTATTTCGAAAAACTAATTGTAGATACACATTGGGGAATATATATTCAGTACAAAAAAATCAATTCCTTTTAGACATATTCAGTTGTATTTGTAAACCAGGTCTAATTATAAGAAACTGACCTCTAAATCTAGCGCTACTCTGTGCCGCCGGGGATCAAAAACTGTGCCTGGTGAAGCACGAACTGACCCGGAGTCATGAAGGGGTTAAGGAGTCTAATAACTGTCAAAACTGACTGGTTCTGAAATGTTAAGTCGTTTATCAAAACTGGTCAAACTTACCTGTGCTGTGCCATTCAGGTTAAAATCCATCAACTGATTATTGAGAATTATCCCAGAAGGTAGCAAGTACTGGTTTCCAAAAAGACTGTTCAATGAACTGTAGAAAAAGATGTTTCAGTTTTAGTAAAAGTTAAAGATAAGTTAAGTTAAGATAAGATAAGATAATACTTTAATGTCCCAGAGGGACATTTTCTTGGCTGTACAGGACAGTAAAAACACATGCAGGTATACATACAGCACTTGCAGGACAAATAGGTCATATGGATGGCAAAAAGATTACAGGTGTTACTAGAAAATAACATAAAAAGAAAAGTTCTGCTCTAGTGAAAGTTTTATACCTCTTGCAACACAGTAAGTACGTCATTATACGTGCCGAAGATTAGACGTGTTACAAGAGACCAACAAACACAAAAAAGAAGTAGGAGAGATCAGAAAAATAGATGTCTGATGATGAGAAAGACCTGGGTTGGAAAATAATCACGAGAGAGAAGGAGCAAACCAAACCAGAGCACTCACCAACCACCCATAGTAAAAGATTTATGGCACTTACAACACAAATGGGTCAAACTATAAATGCCAGAGATTAGAGGTGCCAGTTTTAGTTTTAGTAAGAGTTTTACACACTTGCAACACAAAAAGGTCATATAAGTGCCGAAGATTAGAGGTGTTACAAGAGAGCAACAAACACAAAAAAGGAGGAGAGATGAGGACAATAAATGTTTGATAGGAAAGAAGGAGCAAACCACACCAGGGCGAGACAGAGAGACAGACAGACAGACAGAGACAGAGTTGGAGACAAAAAGAGAGAAGGAGAGAGCGGAAGGGAGGAAGAGACAGACAGACTGACAAACGAATGAGCGGATAGATGGATCGATGGACAGACAGACAGACAGACACGGACAGACAGACAGACAGCCAGATAGATAAACAGACAGACAGACAGGGGGACAGACAAAAAGACAAACAGACAGACAGACAAACAAAGAGACAAACAGAGGGACAGACAGGCAGAAAGAAAGAACAATTCCAAAATTCAAAAATACATCTTTTGTTAAAAAAGTTGACATG